ATACATTGCAGCAGCACAGAAAATGGCAACAACTTGGCTGTCCAAGCCACAAAAATGTTGCCCATGGTAGGAAGTCTGAGTCAACACCTTATAAGCTGCATGTGAATGTAGGACATGGACTTTCAGGATGGGCAGGCCTGGAGCAGCATGAGGCTACATAAACATGGCTGAGCTGGAGGGAGACTGCAGCTTTGGAAAGCAGCCTGCCTGTTCCATCCCCACAGTGTGAGGGTTAGGATGAGGGGAGGCTTGTGGGACCCCAAGCCGGGTCTGTCAGCACCAGTGCAATCTCATTAATGGGCAGTTCAGCCAGACCCTCTCTGACCTACAGAAGGGCTAATGAAGTCAGGGAAGAGGTCACTGGTGGGGGGGCAGGCATGAAGCTTTCCCTGGAATCTGGCCTCCTTGCCTGTTGGATGAGCAGTTTCCTTTTCTCTCCTGATTCCATTTTCCTGGGGTCTGATTCCCTTTTACAGCGAATGAAACAGAAGTTCAGACTCCAAACTCCCAATGTGTCACAACAGTAGCGCAGTGGTGCTTGAAACAGCAGCTCTTTCAGGTTTCTGGCAGGAAGGTGTAGAGCCCTTTACTGAGGCTGAGGAGCAAAGGACACCCAGAGCACCGGCTGCTTTCTCTGGAGCCCAGCACAGAGTGGGATGGCACTGGAGAGCACTCGGAGAGCTTCCTCCCTGCGCTGGCACAAAGGAAGGTATGATTAGGCCTCCCTTTGTAAAGCAAGGCCAGTTTGCACACTAACACAGACTAAGGCCTCACCAGGGGCTGCAGCATCGGAACAGGGCATAAGAAGCCACCAAACACTTTTCCAAAGCTGCCGCCTCTGTACTGGGGCCTCCTGTGGAAGGCAGGCAATTCCTGCAGACCAGGGATGATCCTCAGAGGGCCACAAGGCTACTTTGCAGCCCCTTTAGGCAGTTTCACCTTAACTCAGGCCTCCAGAGCACCACCAATGAGTAAGTACCTCTGCTATTCTGGGCTGGGAATTGATAGCAGCTCTGCCCATGCTCCGTCTTCCGATCTGCTCTCTCTGCTGTTTCTGTTCTGACCCCCGCCAGAGCCTGCCTGGAACAGAGGACCTCATGTGGTGGTGGCCAACTGGGGGACAGACAGGTGCTGCCAAATTAATCTGCCTTGGGACAGAACCAGAAGGGACCCCTGGGTTGCAGATGTCAAGGACATCCCAGCAGCTGCAGCCCATGGTGCATCTTGCTGGACTGACAGCAAGTTCTGGGTTGGGTGTGAGAAGGAACATTTGTCCCCAACACATTCTAGCACCACTTTGATCCCCTTGTGCATCAGCACTTCCTATAGAAACACCAGCATAGGTCAAGCTGCCACAGCTGGAGGAGAGGACAGCACTGGGCAGTGCGCAGGGCTGGAACTCAGGAGACCTTGGTCTACACCTGATGTGGCTGTGGGCTATCTGTGTTTCTTGCAGGGTGCAGCTGCACCCGGTGCTTCATGCCCCACATTTGCACTGTGCATGCTCTGTGGGATTTCTCTGCTCCAGGGAAGAACCCCTGCATCGTTGGCTGGCTCTTTCCTTGAGACCCTCCCTTCCCTGCCCAACTGCTGGCGTCCCTTCCTCCCTGCATAGCTGGTCTGGAGCGCAGTGGGGCAGTTGCTTTGAAGCTCCTCCTGCTGACCTCACAGCTGTTTTCACATCTCCCTTGCTCAGTCCACTCTCCCCCTCTATGGAAACCCCCTTGCAGGGACAAGCACCCTTTGTACTAACCTTGTTGTTGTTGGTCTTTGTGTTGCTCTAAGAGTTGAAAACCACCGGGTGTAAATCTCAAGGAATAGCCGATCCTGCGTTATTTATGCCCTCAGAGGGGCCCTTTGCTTGCTTTTATCCTGCCTCTTTAATACAAACCAGAGATTTTTTTTGGCTTAGAAAGTCTGCTGTGTTCTCTCTCCTCTTCCCCTCCTTCCCTTGGAAGTTCAGATAAGGGAAAGATTTATACTGGTGAGGAAGGAGGCGATGAGCAGGGGGTTAAGAGCCAGTCACTTTGGGGGGTTCTTTGAAGATAAATTTAACTTCATCTTATCTGTGGCCTGTGCACTAGGGGAAACATGAGTGCTGGTCTGCGGGAAGCGGGGGCTGGCTGAGAAAGACGGGGGCTGGTTTTAATCTTTACCCTGGTCCATTTTGGGTTCATTATGGGAACATTTATCATGCTTGATACATGCCGGCCAGGTAAATAACTCTTGGCTTTGCCGTTGTTTCTGGTGCGTGGAGTCCCAGTTCGTCGGCAGGAGCACTTGGGGTCAGCTGGCAGATAAAAGCGCGCCCGCTCCACTGGGCGCTTGCCCTGGACGGTTAATGGGGTGGGATCGGAGAAGCTAGGAGCACTGGCAGGATGCTTTTTTATTTCACATCTCATCCATTAGAGGGAAGCAGGCAGGAGCCATGCAATGGGAGGTGTGTGCTCAGCTCTCAGAGGCTTTGTGAGACACTAATCGAACACATCCCCCCTTCTCTGCTGACAGGCATGGAGGGAGGGTGCGGCTCTCTTGGCCCTGCAGCTGGGGGATAATGAGGACTGAGTCTCATTAGTGACCCGCGTGTTCACAACAGAGGACAACAAAGCTTGCCGGAGCTTGGCGCCAAGAGTTATTAAGGCGCTTAGCAGCTGGGGTGAAGGGGGAGATGCCAAGGGATTGTATCACGGAGAAGGGTGTTTTCCCAACAGGCTTGTCAGAGCTCCAACACAGGCCTGAGCTGGGCTGCCCCAGCCGAAGATCCCACCCCTTGCTCCAGGGGCTGAGGGGATGCAGCAGGCTGTTCATAGTGTAGTGGTGACTCTCCACAGTGCCCCTGGGCCAGGACATGTCACTGCTTAACTGGAACATCTGGGGGAAGCTCTTGCATGACCAGCACCATCCTGACGGGGAGCTTTGGCACAATTCAGCGCTGGCAGGACTGGGCCCAAAGGCAGCATCCTAGTCAGCAGAAAGGGTTTATTGCCAGTGACATAAGACTCCACTGATACCATTTGGGGCAGTGCAGATATAGGGCACTGTAGCAGGGCACTAAGGTGCCTGCTACTGAAACACAGTAAAAGGAGCTCAGCTGCCAGTCACCAGGGCAGCACAGGTGCGGGTTGCCGGGCAACCAGTCTGGTCAGCTGACCGGAAGGGGGCAGGGCCTGGCCTTTATAAACAGCCAGGCTGAGTCACCCTCAAGACCTCATTCTCCGTTATGCTTGAGAGCAAGGCCTTGGGATGTTCCCAGAGCAGCTTTACCACCACGGTGGAAGTACAAGTGCAAAAACATGGGTGGGGTATGTTTCTCGAAGAGCTCTGGGGACACTGTGCCACACCCCTGGGAGCACTGTTCGGGTACAGAAGCCCCAGGCCACCTTCTCAGCAAAGTGTTCTCAGTCTGGGCACAGCAATGGTCACAAAGCTGCGCTGTGTATCCATAGAAGAGGGGTTGTCAACCAGGGGTACACATACCCCTGGGGTACTTTGAAAGGTTCCAGGGGTTATGTGGGGATGGGTGGGGATGGAGCGCTGTCACCCCGTGCCACTGCCTCACAGGAGCAGGGCCAAGGCGAAGCGAGAGCAGGGTTGCACAGATGCTGAGCTGCTGCTGCTCTGCCACTTGGCATGCCTCTGCTCTGCGTCTGGCCGCTCGCCTTCCCCCTCTTCCCCCCCCCCAACAGCTTGGCATCCGGGGGTACACTTACTAAAAAGGGGGCCGCTGTGGGGACACTTATTAAAAAAAGATTGAAAGGCCCTGCCATAGAATAAAGCCACCTCCACCCATTCTGGGTGACACATGATATGCCATTGAAAGGCAGTTTTGCCAGTTAAACTGCAAGTACACAGGAACTCTGCTCACTCCAAGGCCAGGTACAGACATTAAACTTTTATTGATACAAGCGATCAGAGACCGGCCAATACCCATAACAGAACAGAAGTTTGGCACATGGGTTTAAAAATGCTGGAACTCGGTCTAAGATTTGCCTCCCTCTCACCAAAGAGCAAATGTGTGATCTGTTCACTATCAATCTAAACTATGTGGCTTACAGAAAATGGTGTAACTTAGATCAATTTCACCCAGGCTTTTTGAATGTCTGTACCTAGCCCAAAAGGCCAAATTTAGAGCCACATCAGTGCAGTAGCTAAGACTGCTTAGCATAGGATGGGCTGTAAGTGCAAGGGTTTCCAGCTAGAACCTCTCAAGTCTGGGGAGGAATCCGGGGGGAGAGAGTGTGGGGGTATGAGCGAGGAGGGTTGCACAGGCGAGCAGGGGTTCAGGAACAGAGGTCTTAGACAAGAATAGCTGGAGTGGGCTGTTGGTGGAGGCAGGAAATAGTGTGTCACTAGGGCTTTTCTGTCTTCCTGTGCATGCTGCCTTCCTTCTCAAGGGAGCTCCCATTGAATGGGATGTCAGTAAGGAAACCAGCCTAGCACAGACAGCATTTGTGCATGCTTTGTGCAGGAGACTCTGCCCCTGCCATGCTGCAAAAACAGCATGGAAAATGGATTCCCTAGAAGAGAAAAGCAGCCGCACCCAAGGGTGTGAAGATGAAACAACCCAACTCCCTTTCCCTAGAAGGGGCAAGAAGTTCCTCTTCCTGCCTGCAGGAGCCATTGGCTGCGAATGCCTCCGAGACCACTTGGAGTGGAAGGTTGTGTCACGTGTCACTGGAAAGGTCATTTCCCCCAGGTTGGCAAGAAGGCCTTAGATCTGACCTACGACCTCCATGTCAGCAGGTATTAACGATCTCCTTATGCCTCACAGGCAAACAAACAGACTGCCCGGTGTGGGATTCAGGGACTTTGTGGAGAAGAAACTTTGTGAAGTTTGTTATTCTCTTCATCAGGGCCTATTCACGTGAAATATCCCTGTCACCTAGATAAGAAGCCCTGTGTGTGCACATGCACATGCACATGCACATGCACATGCACACACACATCATGTCATTATTAAAGATGTTAGATCCCATCTAACGCTGGACCTGTCCTGTGTGATCTGCTGTCTTTAAGGTCTGTGACCACAAGGAGCTCTAATAGGCTTCCACCAGCCCCCAACAAGACAGAGTGAGGAGGAAGGAGGAGGGAGATTCAGTTTACTCGTCTTCTGGGAATGGAGACTGAGGGAAAAGTTGTTGAAGGAAGCAGCAAAAGGGGAAGTGAGCCTGACCGCCTGTTTACATAAAGCCATGGGGGCATCTCTGTGCAGACCCCTGCCTCTCCTCCAGGCCCCACTCTGCTCCCCAAGTTGATTCAGTAATTTACATCCTGGGGGCTTTGCTTGCCAGGATGCTTTAATTTACCAGAGGAGGGGAAGGCAGGTCTCCGTCGACCAGCCATATATCTGCCAGGGGTTATCTAGGAATTTCAGCTGGGCTCTCTCCCTTATCTGGGCAATATAAAACCTGCCCCCTTTGTGGCTGCCTTGTCCTCTCCCAGGCTGGGCTCTTCACTATCCCTGGGATGGAATCCAGCCGCTTCCCCCCTCACCTCTATCTCTCCCATGGGGCAGGCCTGGTGCAAAGGTTCGGGCCACTTTTTACGAGGCGGGGTGTGTGTATGACTGTATGATGCCACAAGGAGAAACAGGGGCAGGGCTGGGAAAGGCCAGCTTTCAATGGCTGTGACATTGGGTTTAAATCCCTCTTTGCTTCATGCCCAGCTAATCTCTCTGGAGGGTGTAGCCCTTTTCTGCCCACACCTGCCCTGTACCTCAACTCAGGAAACTCCATGAGAAGGTATATTTGCCTCTATGTACCCAGCACACCTCTGGCACTGCAAACAGCATAATAGCATTGTGGGGACACACCTAGGATGTTTGGCAGCACAGGGTGGGATGAAAGTATTAGATCTTTGCCTGATACATCCAGATGCAAGTCAAGACTTCTGTGGTACCGATGCTGCCTGCTGTGACTTCCTTACTCCTGGGATTTTACATGTGCAGGATCTGGTCCTGGCGTGGCCCTTGTTTTCCCTTGTTCAGTGGGTGACAGGTTGGGTGGTGTTTTCCAGAAGTGGAGTCATTGCAGATAGGTGTTAGGAAGGTTCCTATCAGGACCGTAGAGAAGAGTCTCTGAGGCTAACTGGGAACATCTCTGTCTGACTGTTCCTAAGGCAGTAACACTTACCCTGGAGGGAGAAGCAGTTACACCAGTCTTGGATTCTCTCTGGCTTTGGCCCTTCAATTACTTGCATTCAGGCTGTGTCACCTCCACCTCCACATCTCCATGTGATCAGAGATTCTGCTAGGCAGGAACTCTCCCTTGGGTGTCTGCAGCTGATTTGAGACTGTGACGCACAGAATGGGGAACCTGAACCTGGAGTACATTGCAACCGCCATTTGTTTCCTGTTCTTTACTTGACTTACAGCAGCAGCTAAGAGCCTTGGGGAAGTAGAGAATCCCATTGTGCCAGGCGCTACCCGCACATATCCAGCATCAGCCAGCAGAATCTATGGAGTAATGATAGACAAGGGAGTGAAGGGAAACTGAGGTAGAAAGGGATTAAATGACCAATCCAAGGTCATACGCAGAGCCAGAAATGGAACTCAGGTCTCCAAAGCCCCAATTCAGAGTCTTATCCACTAAACAGTTCAGCTTCTTTCCCCTCCATGGCACTGTGGCTTTCTGTTCTCAATATCTATGCAATATGTCTTTGAAAAACATTGAAAGAACCATTTCCTGTCCTTCCTCCTCTCCCTTGGAGGTAAATGCAGCATATAGCAGAAGTGATTCATCAGGCTAAAAACCTGTATTTATGTTTCAATCAACTGGAAATGAATAAGTACCTGAGTAGTGAGACTGTGCATTCTGCATCTGGTTGTTGAAAGATCTGGTCCATTCAGGATGGCTTTTGGCTTTCCTGGGATATTAGAGTTGTACAGGCAGATGGTCTCCAATTTTCTGTCCCTTCTCACCTGTAAAGAGGATGCAGGCACATGTTTGTGAAGAGGCTTCTCCTCAGAGTTCGCACAGGAAGGGCATGAGGCCTCCAAATGTGGCAAGCAAGGAAACACGGTGGAGTCCTTCCTGCTCTCAGTTCTAAGGAATGCCTCAGCTGGACCCTGCGCAAAGTAGGGATTGGGATCCTTGCTTATCCAGAAAAAACCCAGTCCTATACCAGAGACATCACAGGATCTCTGCTGTGGCACAGGGGCATGCGGGGCTATGGCCTTTCTATTGCAGTCTTGGCAGTTAGGTGAGGTATGATCACATAGGCTGCCACGTAACAGTGGTTTCACTACCATGTGGTGGGTTAGTGGAACAGAGAGCAGAAGATGGGTCCAGGGTGCTGGGCTATTACATCCAAATGAACTGTAGGATGAGAGCTGCTCTGGGTCAGGGAAAGAGCCAGTCAGGGGCCTACAGCTGTTAAGTAAATGAGAGCTGGAAGCCAGGGACAGATGTACTGTAGAGAGTCCCCTGGAGATGGCCACATGGCCCTGGGACAGAGATATGATCTGGTGGCTGGCAGGTGCCCAGCGTTGCTAAAGAGATTGCTGAGGACCCCAGTCACGGAGGGATGAGACTAGCCTCAGTTTTCTGACTGCTTGTGAAGAAAAGCAGTGGGGAAAAACAAGGGAGTAATGCATTGTCTCCCTGGGACTTGACAGAGTGAGGTGCCAGCTCTGGGTCTGCAGGACAGTTATCTGGGTGGTCTCCTGGGGCCAGCCTCATGAGGTGGCCCTGGCAGGATCACAGCACCTCTGAACAATGCTTTCTCCACCTGTGTAAGCACAGTGTGATCTCTGGCCAAATACCCATACGTATTATTATTCCACTAGTGAGATCTGGAATGGGCGCAAGGGAACTCAGTATGAGCAGAGATACTACCCCGCAAGAGGTCAAGCACCTTAGGAGAGAGGCCATTTTGTACAGCCAGATCTGTGGGGAAGAGGAGGTAAACCTGAGGCAGGGAGACCTGTGAAAGGGCAGATGCCTCTGGCACTGGGAGGCAAGTCTGACATCCCACTTTCCATAAGTTCCAAGTACATGGGGGCCCCCAAGGGCCTTGGACCCCCTTGGGAAGAGGACCCATCCTTAATTGGGTAGGACAGTCCCAAAATGGGAACATCAAGTCCTGGTCCCAGGCTGCATGACTCCAGGACAGCATTTGTCCTGGATTCCCAGTATCTTTCAGGGATCCAAGTTTTCCATTCACAGAGGAAAAAAGTGGGAAATGGTGGATTTCCCCTTGCAGGCTGGCAGAGTTCTAGCCTGCAAGGGGCTCTGGGGAGCGGGACGTAGGGGACACCATGTGCATGTGTGCATGTGCGTGCACAGTGTCAGGGATACAGCTCCAGGCAGTGGTAGAGACTGGGGGAGGGTGTGTGGAACAATGGCTCACAAAGAGCCTTGTAGCGTTTAGCAAAATG